GACTCACTGTTTTAAATCCACCTCTCACCAACTTGATGCCTCCCAGTTCTTGTACAAATACCTTCCTTGAATGGCTCGTGGACCACACTGTAACCCCCTCGGCCAGCCCTCTCGCAGACCGGAGGGTCCCTGTCGGCCAGGTTTGTCCTGTACAGAAGCCACTGCTCTTCTCTGAGCCTTTGCCAGGTTTTTTCCAACCGACCATGTTCATATGCCATAAATTTCAGCAACACATAATGATCAGTCCCAGTCTGTCCTCCTTCCTTGTAGCTCCTCAGCTTTCTTTAGTCCCACAGAAACTCACCCACTTCTCCCACTGATGCTTAGCTCCTTCATGAGCCTCTGACGACTAACCTTATCAAATGAACCCACAGACCAAGCTCCCGAGTCAGTCAGCAAGGCCCCAGGTGCGTCTTCTGGTAGAGTACCACACAGCTCCTACTTCTCTCATCCATCACACCTCTTGTAAGCACTGCAACCAGTGATCTTAATAGTTTAGTCGTACCTCACCTCACCAATTTCAACATTGGTAATTAGGTCAAGTACTTCCTCACCAAATATTTTCTCCCAAATATTTTCCAACACATCCACTTTCTTACCCGGATTCCTAACACCAGAATAAACCAGACAGGGAACTGGCTCTCTTCCGCTTCTTGGTCTCATGCTTTCAAAGTATTTAAAACGGGCTGAGGGTGAGATGAACAGCCTTTGCCTCTATCCCTGGCTGTCAGCTAGACACCTTCTGATGGCTCTCGCTGTCTGCTCTCAGAGCCTTCTGCAGGCACATGGGTCTTCTCTGGGATGCAGCAGGTATCAAAGCAGAAGAGAGGTTGGGAACGAGCAGGAACCATGCTGTTGAGCTGCCTTCCTGGAGATCTCCAAGCCTGGTTTTATATATATGCTTGTAAGAGATCCCGTTAGCGGAATTAAACATTGCAGTCATGCCCCATCCTGCTCTGCACTCTTCCCCGCCCGTGTGAAGACACAGAGCCGCATTAGCACCAGCTAAGGGGCCCATTCTCGCTGCCATCCCCTCTCCAGGCAGACATCCCAGCCGCAGCTCTGCTCAGCTGCATCCCACCAGCTTCGGGAGAGCAAAGTCCCCTCTGTGCCCACCCAGAGCTGTTCCAGGATTAGGGATTTAGTGCTTCACCAGCACCTGGAAGAGACAGGATGCTGCACAAGGACTAACCTCATGCATGGGAGAGGCCGGGGGCCCTTTGTACACTGCACTCATCTCCCACCCTTCAGCAATTCTGCCTCCAGGCTGGGTCAGTCTGTGGCAGAGAAACCCCAAGAACTCCCTGACACGCTGCCAGGCGGGGAGGAGGAGACCACATTCAGAGATGCTGCTACTCCCCAGGAAGACTGCCAGCTCTTCGTACCGGCCAGGAAACCCTGCTGCCTCCAATTTGTCAAATATCACCTTCTGTCAAGTTCTGCTAAATACCCTCACTCCAGACAAGGCACAGTACCTCCAGCCAGGTTTCAGAGACTCCCCTGAGCTAATGGACTCCACTCCTTTGTCCAAGTTGGCAGAGATAAGCCACAAAGCTACTTCTCTGTCCTGTCCCATTTTCTCTCCGCTCCTTCTCTTCTCCCACAGGGTGATCCCTCTGCAGCATGGTCAGCAAAACCAATGGAGTCAAACACCAGCGGCATTTTTCAAAGCTCTGCCCAAGCTGCTGAATGCTGACTACTTTCCCTCAGCCCACCAGCTCCTGGGGACGCCCAGTTGCTAAACTAATTCTCCCTGAAAACTACCCGACTTGGGCCAAGGATGGGGGCCAGGAATTCCCTGGGGAGCCCACAGCTTCCCCAGGTTGGCCCTCTGCCCCTCCAACTCCTCCTCCCCTCACCTGCAGCACCAGGAGCCTGTCCCGTGATCTTGGCTGCCAGGCAGACCTGCCCAGACACTACTCCTTCATGAATCCCTAAGGAGGGTGACAAAAACCTTGCTGGGTCCTCTTAAGTTACACAACTAAAATGACAAGTAATTAGAGGGATGGAACCCAGCTGGGAAGTGAGAGGCCACCTCTGGACAGGCATACTGAAAAGGAAAGTAGAAAGGTCCAAGTTCTTGTCGTCCTTCCTCCCCCTGGCACTGCTCTGCAAGTCCCAAGACTATTTCATGCTGGCATCATCCTCATCCTGGCAGTTCCTGCTCGTCCTGAACCCTGGTTGTCCTCTCTCTATGTAACTTTCCCATCACTTCTCCCTTGGAAAAACCATTGCGATGCATCAAGCTCTCAGCCAGCTCCTCGGGCCTGGCCACACTGCATTAAAACAGGATTTATGAGCCTCAAGCACAGACAAGAGTTATGCAGTCTGCACTTCTGCACGCTGCATACCAAGTCCCCAGCTGGTTTAAATCAGATTAACTCCGCTGATGTAAGACATTTAAGGCAAGAGAGTTCCGTGATTTACACCAGCTGAGAAGCTGTTATATTATAACTTGGCAGCTGCAGGTTTTAGATGTGAAGTTTTTTGGGCAAGTATCCCAAGCAGCAATGAAAGACAGAGCAGCTGAGTGGCAAAACCCATTTATTCTCAGTGCAATATGCACGCAGCCAGCACATGTTCCACAAAAGTATTTTAAAATAAAAAACAACAAACAACCCCAGTGTTCAGTTTTAAGTGCCATCAGTCTGCAAAGTCAGTGCCCCGTCACTACCCCAAGGCTACATACAAATCACTGTCATGATACTACGGAAATGCCTCCCTTCAAAAAATGATAAATTTGGGAAACTTAAGCCAGGCAACTTCAATGCAAAGGTTGCTAGCTATTGAAAAAACCCTATAGACTGATTAACACAAAAACGAACAAACACACAAGAGAGTTTAATATTCAGATCAGAGCCTTCATTTCTGCTGAAGAATGCTGAGGCTTCCAATGAAATCTGGCTTCCACAAAAAAAAATGGTGCCAACACTATGGAGCCAGATGTGCCTGCAAAGGTGCACAAAAAGACGCAGCATTCACAGCAGGTGAAATGGCACAGAAATGCACGAGGAAAAATGCTAATAGTGCCTGAAAAGGAAGGTTTAGGTCTTTTACCTTGGCAAAGTAGATTCTTCACGCCAGTAGAGGCTGGTTTGTCAGAGCCAGGAAACTGGCAGGAGCCCACTGCCATTTCCACACCACCCACAAGCCTGCAAGCGGGCTGCAGAGCTGCAGCCTTCCCTGCTGCCTCCTGTCCGGTGCTGGCTGTGCATCGGGAAGCAGGGAAGGAGCCCCGCCAGCCCCATAAATCACCAGGCACCCAGCACAGTAAATCTGGCCTCCCCTGCAAGGGAAGTATAAATCAGCTTTACTGGCAGCTTCTGAAACAAAAACTAAGCTCATGAAACTGTAAAAATGCCTCTTTAAACATCCTGTGCCCTGAACAGACCATTGAAAGCCCCGTCAGGCTGAGGGAGAGCAAACAAGCTTTCCAAGAGATGAGACAACTCATGGGTTGACAAACTGAGAAAAGGCATTTCAGACTGAGCAGCTTCTTGCTGGCAGGCAGCACGACATGGATATCTTTAGCACACAGTAAAGACAGGGTAGGGAATCGGGAGGAGTGAATTAGCTAGCGTTAATACCGTCATTTGTATTCAGTGTAGTTCAAAGCACTTGCAATGCAGACATCACCAGACACAAAAAAAAAATTACCCAAGTCTAACGGAGACCAAAGTACAGCACATTCTCTAGAGACCACAGAGCTGGGGTTGGATGGGACCCTCGGGGCTGCCTTACCCCAAAGCCCCCAGGGAGGATGCAACAGGCTACCTCCCTGCCTGCTCTTCCCTAACGCCTGCTTGCACAAATTAAACACCACTGCCCAACCGCTTAATGAGCTGGCATGGGATAGCTGTGCCCCCCAGACAGGGGGGCCTTCCAGAGGAAGCCTCATGAATCAGTGCAGAGGCAGAAGCTACTGGGCAAAGCCAAACTGGGACAGGGCTCAGGACGGGCACAGGGGAGTCACAACCACTCATGTCCCAGCAAGGGCCAGACCGCACCTGGGATCCATTGCAGGAAATCTGCAGGGAATATTATGGCTGGGCAGAGGTTCCCGATGCCGAGGAAGCTGCCAGTGCCGGTGGTGCTAGCCATGGGAATGGTTATTTCAGCAACACACACGTGTGGGAATGGGTCCCGGGGCTCCCTGCCACCCACAGCCTGCCATGTCACAGGGAGGGCACACAGCCAGTGGCTGGCCCAGGAGAGGATGCTGCCCTCACCGGTGCGTCAGGCCAGTGGGGCAGCTGGCAGGGAGAGCCCAGGGACCAGCGCCAGGAAAGGACAGGCAGGGCTGGAGGAGCTCCAGGGGAGGTGTCTGGGGCGCAGGGATACAACACCCTCCTCGTGCGACCAGTCCAAGGCTAGAGAGCACTATGGTCCCAGGAGAAGCACCTGGGCGCAGCTGGGAAAGGAAAACATGGCATCAACTGAGCCAAGCCCATTCTGCCAGCTTCCCTGTTTTCCTGCAGATTTATTGTTGTTCCCGCACTCAATAACAGCAGAGTGAAGGCACAATAAGGAAACTTAAGTGATCAGTGGCTGCTAATCAGCAAAGCTTTCCAAGAGCTCACTGAAGCCAAGAGGAAAGGCTCAACAACTGCTCTCTGCTGACACTTGCTAGCGCACAGCCACACCACAGGCATGCGGCACCTCTTTCTGCTGACACCCCACAGGGAAGAGGGCTGTAAACACACGCAGGACAGGCACATGTGCTCCTGTCTCGCCTCTCCTACCACCTCAGGGCACAAGGGCAGGGCCAGCTGCTGTGCAGCATGAATAACCTCCCATCACTCACGCCAGTGAAGACCTGGATGTGGGCAGTCTTGGACCGAATGGTACATCACTCTGCAGGAAGGAGCAGAACCCCAGGAGCCCACCCCAAAAGTTTATTAACTTTCTTTGCATTTCAAATAGCACTGAATAATATCTCCCTGCAGAAGAGAGCCTGTGTTCCTGGAGGAAGCTGCTGCCGCAGCTCAGTGGAGGCTTACCTTTGGGCATGATGCGATGCATTGCAACTGACAAGAAGAAGATCGCGTCGCTGTAGTAGGTCCCCGATCCCGCACTGAAGTGTTTCTGCATGGCTTCGACGATTGGAAACAGCTTTTCCGTCAGCTCATTCACATCATGGACTACTACCTAGGAGAGACATCAGAAACACCACTCAGCCGCTGCCTCTGGGGACTGTCCCAGCACTGGCAGCCTCTGCTCAGCCCACACCGGCAGGGGCCGAGGGGAGGTTGGTAAAGCATAAATAGCGCCGGTGGCACTGCTGCTGCACAAAGGGGCCCGGCTGCCCTGGCCCCTGCCCACACCCCTGCTGTGAGAGGCAGCCAAGGCATCAGGGGAAAGAGGGAATGATTTTTACAACCATTTCATAAACATGAGACTCAGATCCATTCATACAATCAAGTCTGCTCAATGGTTTTTGTTGTTTTGGGGTTTTGGATTTTTTTTTTTCCCTGGTCTGTTCCCACTGCCTAATGCAACCACATATCTGGTCTCCCATATGGAGTCCATCAGAAGAGGTGACGGTTTGCTCCAGGCTCTGGCATCCTGCCGTTTTGAGGCAAGCCAGACCACATCACTTACCCTGAGGACCAAGACTCGCTCCCTGCTGCAGAGGCAGGCTGCGACAGGGCCAGGGACGCAGCCCGGATTTCCTGAACCTCAGCCCGGCACGGAGGCAAGCTCTGCAGCACGTCCCACCAGGGCTGGAGGGGGAAAGGGAGGACGGGCCACAGCACGCTGACAAAAATCCAAACATTGAGAGTTACAGCAGAGCTGAGCATCTTCTCTGACAAGGGATCTCAGCTCGCTTGTGCTGGAGCTCTGCTCGCGCTCAGCCAGCAACGCTCGGCACTCCTCAGCCCTGCTGGAGCCCACGCACCAGCACTGGCCCTGGCACACCGTGCAGGTCCTCGCTATGGGCCAGAAACAGGAGCAACTGCAAATGTACTGAAATTTTGGAAGCTTATAATTAATTTTGGTCATAGTCTGACAACCAGGAACTTTCATGCAGCCTGATGCTCATTACACACACAGAAGGACTCAGGTCACGGAATCATGCAAGATAACACGAGGGATTTTCAGGGTAATTAAGAGAGATGAGGAACACGACCCCGGTGCGGATAAGGGGGAGTGCAGGAACTCGAGTTTGGAGGCTCGAGGTCATGCCACCTTCTTCAGGCCAGGGAAAGCAGGAAGAGCCCAGCAGGAACTGAAGGCCAGTGAGGACACAATTTTGCAGCAGTATGTGAATTTTGAAAAGGGGAGCCTATACCCCTTATTTGAGGGATACAGAGACACTTCCTTAAGCCTTTGGCAGGGAACTCATCCCCAGGATCTCCATAGGTCCCTTCCAAACCAAACTATTCAAGAGTTCTATGTTCACTCCTTTTTCCGACTAAAATTTCATCTGCTTAAGAGCAAGGAGCCCTGCATGATACACCTAAACATACAAGACAGAGCATTTGCTTTTTTAAAACCTAAACCAAGCCAACTGCTTCAGAGGAAAAGGTGGCTCTGGAGCCTGAGCTGGTGCCATGACCGTCCTCTCTCTGAGATGCACAAGGGGCTGCTTTGACACCCAGCGAAGCAGGCACAGAGACAGAGGCAGTGAGCAGTCTGGAGCTTCTTCCTCCCACACTTTCTTGCAGAAAACGTTACCCAGATCAAACTGGTCTTGTGTCAGAGCAGAGCTCGCCGGAGGCGGGGAGCCACTCGTGGCACCCACAGTATGCCGAACAAGGCAAGGTGATGGCCCCATCCTGTCCCAGGGCACAACAGCCAAACCCACAGTGGGGTACTGCTGGAGGACAGTCACAGCAGAGTCCCCACTGCCTCCCTTCTGGGGAGGGTGCCCCAAACGCCCACCCTCAGCCACCGGCCCTTGCTTTCAGCTAGGCACCGAACGAGAGCCCTCGTGCAGGCCCTGCGGCCAGCATGTCCTTCGGCCGGGCGGCCACACTACTGGCGTCCCGGCTGCTGGGCTCGGGGCCAAGCGCCTGCAGGAGGACGGCAGGAAAAACACAGAACAACATGTACCAGGAAAGTGCATTGGGAGAGCTCATCAGCAGCCACACCTGGCTCTGGATAGCACAGCATATTCCCCAAGACACCGCAGGGGAGGAAACTCTGTTACAGGTAACATTACGGCAGCATCTCACCCCAGCCCTGCCAAGCTGCACCAGCAGCTTTGCCATCGTGGTTAGCGCCGGCAGTGTTGCAGGGACAGGTGGGAGAGCGGCACGGCTGCAGGGAGCAGATCAACAGCGCCAAGGGCTGCTGCCGGCAGTGATCCCAGGAAACCAAATACAGCAAAACACCACTACTCTCCAGGTGCAAAGGCACTGATGGCCTGCGCATGAAGCTGAGCACCATGAGCACCACCACCACCGGGATGCGCGATGCTCTGCTCCCAGCCCAGCTCGGTAGGGGCAGCTTTGGGGTCTAGCCAGACTGAAGAAGCATGGAGGAGAAATACTGCACCTGTAACCGCCCTTCTGCATCCAGCAATGACAGGCTGAGGTCTGTGCAGCACATAGGAAACAGCTGAGCAGGGGGGAAAAAAAAAGTCAAACCGATTCCAGCCACCTCTGAAATGAGCAGTGTGCCAAGTACCAGTGGACAAAAAACATGGGAAAAATACTCCTGAAACTCCAGACACAGCATCATCCGCCTTCCCTCCCCTGCCAAAGGAAACAGGAAAATTTGTGTCTTTTGCCCACCCTTTGGTTAGGCATTTCTGCAAAGCAAACTCCTGAGCAGCTGAATCTTCCTTCCGCAGCCACAGGCTGGCCTGCCTCTCCAGGACTGCGAGGGCTTCTCCTCTCTCCACTGCTGACTTTAGCACAGCTTGTTGATCTGCTGCTAATTTTGTACTTCATTATTTATTTGTGTAGCAGCTTTCAGTAAATCCCCGTAGCTAAATCTGACCACACTTGCTGAGGACATTAAGAAATGTAAGTTCTAGGGGTTTCCTGTGCAAGCACAGTTTTATAAACACACATCCTACGCTGAGAAAAGACCCTTTCAATTGATCCACTAGGAAAAAAACAAGCCACGTTTTCTTTCTCCTTCACTTTCCCTCCTCCTCATGTTGGGTATCTCTGTGACTTTCTTGTAAGCGCGGGGTCACGGCAGCTCAGTTACATTCACCCCAGCACGTTTTCACACAGCACCAGGCCCGCAGAGGAGTCAGCGTTTGGCAGCATCCTCAGTGGGGCTGATCTAAACAAGCAACCAGGAAGAGCAACGAGCAGAGCGTGCAGTTAATTTTATTCTCGGAGGGGAACGGAATAAATAAGTGATATGAATCAGCACAGGGAGTCAGAGCACGCAGCCCAGAGTTGCAGGAAACAGGGCAAGTCGGGGCTTTTTGTAAGCACAGTATCGGCTGCTGAGACATGCCCAGGCTCGCTTCTGGGCACTTCCCGCTCGCCGGGAAGCAGGAGAGGCTGGAGAGATCACCCTGCAACCCATGGGACAGGACACGCTCTCTCCAACTGCGAGCGTCAAAGCCCTGTTAAAAGCCCAGCAGAACCTCCTCAAGCTGGGGCGCGGCGGACAAGGCACGGGCAGGAAGGCCAGGTCCTGGCTGGGTGCCGGCGTGCGGCAAGTCCTTCCTCCGGCACGGGTACTTCCCTCCAAGCTCATGGCTGCTTCCCGGCCAACTTCCTCGTCCCTGCTGCTCTCCACTCCAGGCCAAAAAGCCACGCAGCACCACATCACGGAGCACCAGCTCCATCTGCTGCTCGTCATCGGTACACTTGTGCTCCCAGCTCCACATCTGGGACACATCTGTACAGGCACTGCAGGACCAGCGACGCCCCGTCAGGACTGCCCCATGAGTGGGACAGCCCAGGTCGGCCCTGCCCTGCCCAGCAGGGAGGGTCCTGTGCCTAAGCTGCTCCCATGCACCCCACCACGGTGCATCCCAAAGCCCCTCCACTCTTACCCTCTGTGTCCTGCCCTGGCAGGCTGTAGCCGGCTGCTTGTCTCCAGACTTCGAAAGTTCCTGAATTTGCTTAGGAAGAGAGAAGAGCTGGCCCACGACCTTCCCCAAGGGATGGGATCCAGGTCTGGTTCCTGGGCTTCACCAACAGACGACTCTCTCTGGGAGTCTGCTCTGCTGGGAGGGGAGGGCAAGGACAGCTCCAAAAGTAGAGCCCAAATCACATCCTCATAAAGAAAAAGTAAAGTTCAGGGGTTTTAATCAATCCTGCAGCTCAAGCCGCCCTCTGAGCATTTTATCAAGTCTCGTCTCTGGGTCTGCTCTAGGAAAAGAGCGTAAGAACCAGGAGAGTATTCTGGGGACACCAAGAGAACCAGGAACGGAGAGGTCTCAGGATGGAGATGGGTTACTGCTAGAGCTACCCAAGCATCAGGATCAACCACCTTCAACATTTTAGCAGCACCCAAAGCCCAAGTTAGGGTGATGTTTCCTGATGATAAAGAGGAGGAATAGGGTAGGCTACAGCAAGAATAGAGAGGCACTGTCACCTGCTGGCGTACCAGAAAGCGGAACAGTATTAGGAGCAAGGCTGTGTGCTTCAGAAGCAGAGAACAGCCTCTGCTCTGTCCTAGGAACTCTACCTAGAAACAGGGAAGTGGACAGATCTGAAGTGTACTGCCAACCGCAGGCTAGCAGGACACAGTGGGCTCTGCCAGGAGAGAGGGAAGAAGCTGTCCCACTGAGTAGATCCCAGTGAGATCCCACCTGAGCCCTCCAGACCGCACTACTTGCTTACACCCAAGAGATCAGTTCTGATGCAAGACCTCCTCACCGAGCCATGAGCCAGGCTTTACCGCCAGTCCACAAGCACCTACAGAGGCCCACCCCACAGCACACACCACTGCATGCCCCCACCTCCACCTCACGCAACATTCCACTCGCAAGCCCGTGTCCCCTGGGAGCAGCAAGGCTGCCTGCAGAGGAATTCACTTTCTGAGAAGAGCAACCAGCAGTAAGGCAGCCACACGCACAGAGGGTTGTCTGCAAGGGATCTCCACTCTGTGATGGCCGAGGGGTCCTCCCTCTCCAAGGGACACCATAGCACAAACCTGAGCTACGCTGCCACACTGCACCATCACGGGGCACCGCTAGTCCACCCCGCTGTGGCAGGGAGGAATCCTCTTGAAGGTAGGTAGCTATGTACAACCCCTCCAGACCGCGGAGCACTGCCGGCGCGGTGAGGTTACCCTTCATGGATACGTGACCTGACTGAGCACCAGCACTAGTAAAGTGCTGTTTAAGAAAAAGGAGAGGTGGGATTATTTACCAGCAAATGATCTGTACAAAAACATTAAGATTACATTTCTAGTTACACCTCAGCGGAGTTCAGCTAATAATTAACACCTGAACGACAAGAAATGAAAAGTTACAGGAGGAGTACAGGACACTTCAGAGCAACACTCCACAGCAGCACATCTGGACAGGACAGTCAAGTTACCCAGAGTCTCCAAACTTAGAACTCCTCCAGTTTTCAGACACCTGTTTAATGTGAAGGCAAGCCTGACTCTGCACGGAGCGCACTGACCACGTTTCTGGTAGGCAGAACTGTTTCTCCAGCAGGTAGCAAGATGAACATTCGCTGGTGGAAGCACTCCAACCCTCGCAGGCTCTCCATTCTCTTTTTTTAGAGCCGCTAGCAGCCTTTTCTGATCACGGTCCTGCAGGACCAGTTGGGCAGCTGTCTACACACAAGCACAGGTGGTCATTGTGCTGCGACGCTGAACTGGGGCCAACAACGGGGTCTCTGGAAGAGGAGCAGCACCGCTCACAGCAGCTGCTCCTCTCCAGCAGAAGCGGTTTGCCAGAGGTGTTCCTGGGCCACACAGCCACCCAGCCCTGGGCAAGACGGTCACTGGGCTGCACCGGGACACGTCCCAGCAGGGAGACGGGGTCTGGGCTCAGATGGAGTGAGCCCTTCAAAGCGTTGACGTGACTGGGGAAGAGATGCAGCCTTCTCCACTGCAGATGGGAAGCAAATGCACCCTCTCATAGGGGCTATCAGTGGAGAAAGCTCCCTTCCACCGGACTGCTGCTCCCTTTGTTTTGCGGGAAGATTACCTCTACCCAGAAGCCCCGCGCGCTCCCTCCCTAACGCCTGGGGGGAGCCCCAGACGACGCTCAGGGCAGAGGTGCACCCACCAGGCCCAAGCACCCCGGCGGGTGGGCGGGCGAGCACGGCCGGCACCGCGGCGCTCCGCTCGGCTC